ACAGCTTCCTATCTGCTTTAACATGCGTAGGCAATCCGGGATCACCTAACATGCAAGGAAAGCCTGTAACATGAAAAAAAAATTTTGTTTTTGCGACAGGGTCTCGCCCTGTCCCCCAGACTGAGCGCAGTGGTGTGATCACAACTCACTGCACCTTCAACCTCCTGAGCTCAAGTGATCCTCCCACCACAGCCTCCCAAGTAGCTGGGACTGCAGGTATACACCGCCATGCGTGGCTAAGGTTTTTTTTATGTTTTGTAGAGATGGAGTCTCCCTATGTTGCCCAGGCTGGTGTCAAACTCCTGGGTTCATGCGATCAGCCTCCCAAAGTGCTGGGATTACAGGTGTGAGCCACCATGCCCAGCTCAAAACAATTTTTAAAAGAAAACTTGGAGATAATACTGTATGAAAAAGGAAACTTAGAAGATATCTCATCAATGAAACAAGAATGCAGTGTTGTTAGTGTGTATATGCACACACTCAGAGAAGAATAAAATACCCTCAGGAAAGCTATGAGACTATCCCAGAGGAGAGAAATATTTTAAGTGGAAAACAGAATAAAAAGAAAATTCAGGCACCAGTCCAAGGGGTATATAGTCAAAAATCAGTTCCAATAAGAGAGGAGAGAAAGAATGGAGAAGGAAAAGTCATAAAATGTCCCAATCTAAGTGTGAATACAAAAATGTATTACTTTTATAAGTGGGAAAAAGTGTGCAAAAGTGTTTATGATGCCACCTCACCTGTAGGGACAAGGGAAAATAAGACCATACATCCACAGTTGCTTGTATTTACATACACTCTGAGAGAATACCAAAAAACCAAACAAACAACACCTAAGAAAAAGTGATTTGTGAGGGAAGGTAGAGACATTCCACTGAATTTTTTACATACACAGTTGACCCTTGAACAGCACAGTTCTGAGCTGCGCAAATCCACTTATCCACAGATTCTTCTCCTGCTTCTGCCACCCCGGAGATGACAAAACCGACCCCTTCTCTACTTCCTCCTCCTTGGCCTGCTCAATGTGAAGATGGTGAGGCTGAAGACCTTTGTGATGTCCCACCTCCACTTAATGAATAGGAAATACATTTTTTCCTCCTTCCTTGTGATTTTCTTAATAACATTTTCTTGGCCGGGCATGGTGGCTCATGCCTGTAATCCCTGTAATCTGAGGCCAGATCACCTGAGGTCAGGAGTTCGAGACCAGCCTGGCCAACATGGTGAAACCCCGTCTCTACTAAAAATACAAAAATTAGCCAGGCGTGGTGGCGCGTGCCTGTAATCCCAGCTCCTTGGGAGGCTGAGCCAGGAGAACCTGGGAGGCAGGAGGTTGCAGTGAGCTGAGATCATGCCATTGCACTCCAGCCTGGGCAACAAGAGCAAAACTTCATAACAAAACAAAAAACATTTTCTTTTTTCTTTTTTTTTTTTTTTTTTGAGACGGAGTCCGGTTCTGTCGCCCAGGCTGGAGTGCCGTGGCAAGATCTTGGCACTGCAACCTCTGTCTCCTGGATTCAAGTGATTCTCCAGCCTCAGTCTCCCAAATCTGGCTAATTTTTGTATTTTTAGTAGAGACGGGGTTTTGCTATGTAGGCCAGGTTGGTCTTGAACTCCTAACCGCAAATGATCTTCCTGCCTTGGCCTCCCAAAGTGCTGGGATTACCGGCATGAGCCACTGAGCCTGGCCAACATTTTCTTTTCTTTAGCTTACATCACTATAAGAATACAGTATATGATACATATACAAAATATGTGTTAATGGACTTTTATCAGTAAGGCTCCCAGTCAGCGGTAGGCTATTAGGAGTTAAGTTTGAGGGAAGTCAAAAGTTTTACGTGGATTTTCAACTACATGGCTGGGGGCTCAGGGAGCTAGGTGTTCCTAACCCCTGTGTTGAACAACGAAAAAAGACACAATATCATGTACAACCCAAAGAAGGGAGAAGGGAGGAATAAAGGGTGTATATAGTTTTCATTTTTGCACCATGTGAATGGAATACCTACTCAAAGATAAAAAGTAAAAATAGGGCCAGGTGTGGTGGCTCATGAATGTAATCCCAGCACTTTGGGAGGCCAAGGCAGGCAGATCATGAGGTCAGGTGTTCGAGACTAGCCTGGTCAACATGGCAAAACCCCATCTATACTAAAAATATAAAACATTAGCCGGTCATGGTAGTGGGCACCTGTAATCCCAGCTATTCGGGAGGCTGAGGCAGGAGAATCCCTTGAACCCAGGAGATGGAGGTTGCAATGAGCCGAAATGGTGCCATTGTACTCCAGCCTGCACAACAGAGCAAGACTCTGCCTCAACAACAACAACAAAAAGAAAAAATAACAGAGAGGTTTTTTTGAAAGAAAGAAAATCTACCAGAACTTAATGACACGTTTTCAGTTTGAAAGGGCCCACTACGTGTCTGGTACAGCAGATGAAAACAGAACTATACCAAGGCACATTGTTGTAAAATGTGGAGTGTGAGGACCAAGAAAATTTCCAGAAAAGGAGGAAAGATCTAGTTCCAAAGTGGTTCTAGATTTCTGCACTTCTGGAAGACAGGAGGCAACGTCACACGCCTATGTAATTCTGACAGAAAAGTATTTCCTGCCTAAAATTCTATACTTAACCAAACCATCAAATTCAGTTTGAGGGTAAAATATCTATTTTGACATGCAAGTTCTAAAAACATTTACCTTCTCCACAGCCTTTATTTGAAAGCTATCAGGGCATGTGTTTCCCCAAGAAAGAGGGAAGATCAGAAACTCAGAGAACCACACATAGTGGCGAAGGGAGTTCCCAGGGCAGTGGTGACAGACCTGGGGATGACAGCTGTATGGCAGGTTGGGGCAGTGCTATATTGGAGCAGGCCAGATGGCCTGACCTCCTGGCTTTCTTAGGAAGATGAACTGTGATAAGAACTCATCAAATTTCTTGAAAGTAGTTTTATATACGTGGTCGAGAGTTTAGGGTTCAGTCACGGAGAGGAACACAGAAAACTAAGAATATGGAAAAACATGGCAATTATTAACTCCAGAGGTAAAATGTTTTGAAGAAAAATAAAAGTAATCATAACCAACCATGTCTCACCTGTGAATATATTAGTATAATGAGGCAAATGGTATACAAGGCTTTTGACTGACCCAAATTATGATCTGTATTTGTAAGATAAGAAGAAAGGAAAGATGCAGGCGGAGGAAGGATAGCAGAGAGGAAAGAATGAAATATTCACTGTCGACAACAATGCCTAAATCTGCAATATCAAGAAATAGCAACATAGGTTTAATTTAGAAACATGGAGGGAGATAAAGAGGTTTCCCTGGATAAGAGGCTGGAGAGGGGGAGGCTGATTGTCAAAAACGGAGACATCTGAGTTTTTACCCTACTTACAAGCTAACAAGCCAGCAAGCCACACTTGTTTCGTGGATGCTGGTGGAAGACACAGGATTCTTGCATCAAAGGCTAAGATGTTTATTATGCACAGTAGTAGTAGAGTATGAACATTTTTGTTTCCCGAATCCCAGTTCTCACAGGGAGACGCAGAGTGGGCCAGCTGACGCCTGTACAAGTGGGGTTACTTTACAGGAGAGGAAGCATGAGCTCGGGGAATCTTAAGTTTTATAATGGGCAGTAAGTACACCGCTGGCTCTGGAGGAAGACGCTATCTCTTCCAAGCCTGTTTGCAATATAAACAACCTTTAAAAGACAGCAAGGGACAGAGCAGGGCAGTCAGTGCCTCACTCACAAGAGAAGCAGCAATGCCAGAGGCCTATGGCGCACGGATTCCCAGCGCTGCGGTTTTACATAGTCAACCTTCTTGATTTTTAAAAGTACCTGCATACGTAACTTTCCTAAAAATAAAAATCTAAAAAGTTAAATCGTTCACTTACTAAAACAACTCTCTCATGCCTTACTCCTCCTGACCGGGCATCATGTCTTTGCCAAAGGAGACCCAGAGTCCGGATAAACCCGAAAACGCAACCTCAGCTTTCCTGAATCCTCGGCAGGGTGAGCTGGTCCGCAGGAAGGGCTGTCCCAATCCCAGCGCCTCGGGGCCAGAGCGAGGTGGGGAGACTCCCCACGGCCCTGAGCGTGTTGCCTACGCGGCGCGTTGCAGGCAGGTGCGAGCCACGTGCGGTAAGCGCCCGGAGCAGCTCTTTGGTATTTAAGTGTTAATTACAATTACCCGCAGGTGTGTGGAGCCCCGCTGACAATCTAGAAACAAGCAACAGACCCTCTGATGTACCCAGCTGGCCGCGCCTCCGCATGGCCCGCTGCGCCTCGGTCCCCGGAGGCCACCCTCGGGGGCAAGGGCTGCTGCTCGGCCGTGCCCGCGGGATCCTCCGGCCTGGCACAGCCGGTGCTGGAGCTGAAGTGCGCGCCTTGGCCCCTTCGCCGCTCCCGCCCCTCTACGATGCCCACGGGCGCTCGGGGCGCTGTGGGCCCGCATGTCCAGCCAGCCCCTGCCCTGCCTGGCGCTTGGACCACCACTTCCACCTTTGCCGCCCCCACGACGGCCTCTGCAGCTTCCCGATGGGCGGGTCTGCGCAGCTATCTTTGCCACTGCCGGAGGCCGCGGAGGAGGGGGCCCCCCGCCGTGCAGATCCCGCTTATCGGGCCCATCTCGCGTTATATAAGGCCGCTCCACTATCTCCACGGGCCATCACCACCGCAACCGCCGCGCCAGCGCCTTCTCCCATGTGCGGAGGCGCGCCTGCCCACCGCTCCTGGCAGGGCTTTTGGTGGCCGTGGGGAACAGGGGGGCGTTGACTCACCCGGGCTCTGGGAGTTGCACAGCCCGAGGTGGTTCCCCTATCACAGAGACCCTATGGGAGATCCCATGGGCTCTCTACTACAGATAAGAAACCTGAGGCCTGCAGAGAGGTCGCACAGCCAAGTAGTGGCAGTCCAGGCATGGGGGCCCTCCAAAGGAAGGGGCAGGCTCTGTGAGTCAGGGCCAGCAGCCGGGCTGGGAAGCTTCCAGTGTGGACAGAGAAAGGGTGGGAATGATGTTCCGTGTGGGAAGAGAGGGTGGGCAAGCCTGGGGTGCCCCTGAGTGGGCATCCAGCATCCCCCGTGACAAGGGTCACAAGCACACCCTGTGAGGAGGTTGAGCCACATTGAGGACAAGACAGAGGGAGCGTGAGCAAGCAAAGAGGGGAGCTGAAAGGGGAGGCGCTGACTGGGGAAGGAAGTGGGTAAGGGAGAGATCTTGACATCAGCACTCAGCAGGCAAATGCTGTGGCCTCTGTTGTGGGGGTTTCTGGAGGACTTCCAGGAAAATGAGGGAAGAGCAGGAAAAGGCCACATGCCTGCAGGGTGGGCTTCAGGGGCCAGGCCCAGGAGCTGCCCTCCACGGCACTCATTCTGCAGAAGGGAAACTGGAGGCTTCCAGAGGGCAGGGGCTGGTCCTGCAGAGACTGGTGGGCAAACAGGATCACCCCAAGTCCCAGTGGCACTAGGAACACTTAGAATCTCTGACCTGGACTAAGGTTGCCAGCCTGGCCCAGTTAAGAGTTTCCCAGCAGGATGGCCCATGCACTTTAAATTATTAAAGGGGCAGACACAGGTGCACACTACTCCCAGCCACTCTGGAGGCTGAGGTGGAGGGATGGTCTGAGTCCGGGAGCAGGAGGCCAGCCTAGGCAGCCAACATAGTGAGACCCCATCTCCAAAAAACAAAGAAACAAATAGAAAACACCAAAAAAGGTCCCAGGAGGACCTCTGAATCTGTCTGGATCTCTCAGTGGAGACCTGGAAATCTGAACTTTGACAATCCTTCTCACAGCTGGACCAAGGAGGAACTAGGCAAGCCAAAAGAAGTGAACTTCACTCTTCTATTGCCTGCTTGAATATTGTATCCAAGCAAGTATCACTTAGGTAATTTAAGAGACTGGTTCGTTGAAAAAATAAAACCCCCCAAATTCCCACAGCTGGTAGACTGTGGTCACAGCCACAGTGCATGAAGACTATCTGCCCAGCACTTCCGGTGACCCAAAACAGTCTGAGGACAGGAGTTGGGTCAGCTGTCCAGGTTCTCAGGGCGGTCCCAGGCAAAACTGTTGGAACTCAGGCCAGCATTGCAGATGCCATGCTGCTCTCAGGGCCCCTTGTCTCTCCCCAGAATTAAACCCACCCAGATCTTGGAAACTGTGCCCTGGACCCTTCTCAATAAGTCCACGAGAAATCACTTTCCTTTATGCGACACTGGATTTTCCACAAAGCAAAATCAAGATCAGTAAAGATGTGGTTTCTAGATACTGCCTAAAAATGCAGAGACTGGGCTATGAGGCGTCACCACTGGGCCTATAAAAGCTGCCACAAGAGGCCAAGGCCACAAGCCACCCAGCTTAGACCAGCCTGTGCATCTGCTCCTCAATCCTCCCTTGTTGGCACTGGGCCTCATGGCGCTTTGGTTGACCATGGTCATTGCTCTCACTTGCCTCGGCGGCCTTGCCTCCCCAGGCCCCGTGCCTCCCTATACAGCCCTCAAGGAGCTCATTGAAGAGCTGGTCAACATCACCCAGAACCAGGTGAGTGTCGGCCAGCCAGGGTCCTAGCTATAAGGACTCCAGGTTGGGTGGTTCCCAAGATGGGGTCAACAGCAGGCTGGGCCTGGTCCTAGGATGCCTATAGCTCAAGAATAATCCCCATGGACCAGGACCCAGCCCAGCCATGAGGGAGAGAGGGGTTTAGCACTATGGATGGGCCTATGAAGGGGTTTGGCAGAGTCCTGAGGGACCACCTGTTCTGGCCTGGCCCTGCCTCCCACTGCCAGCTCCTCCTCAGCCATTCCTGAACAGAGGACAGCAGAGAAGGGCCAGCACCCTCCCAGAACCATGTGGCATTTGCCAACTGGATTTTGAACACAACGATGCAGCCATGTTCCCCAGCACTGCAGTAGGCTCGCTCTTATAGGAGGATCCTTTAGTAGAGTCCGAGCCTTGCCCCACTGGTAACAGCTCACATGTCTGAGCATTGCTTACGACAGGCCTGGTGCAAATGCTTTACATGTCATTTCAGCACCGCCAGCCACCTCAAGAGGCAGGTACAATGAACCCGTTCTGCTAAGGTGCAGTGAGGTTAAGTGACAGAGGCTGGATTCAAGCCAGGCCTGGCCAACACCAGAGTGACCATGCTCCTAACTGCAGAAGGCAGGGCATTTAATGTAACAGACCCCTACCACCTCCCATCTGATTTGTCTTGGTCTACAGTGGCCCAGGCCACCCCTACTTCACTCATCCCCACCCTGGCCCTTCCCACAGGCCCCCATCCTCCTGCCCTGGCTATGGCAAGCCTCGAATGCAGCTTGTCCCTTACTAGTGGTGTCACTCATTTTTTTTCTCTCAGCTCCGAAACCCTATACAATGGGTCCCTGCCCCCACGCCCACTGTTCAAAGCAGAAAACGAAGCTCAGGATCGCTGAGGCGCTGCCAGGCCTGCCTCTGTGCCACACCAGGGATGCGTATGGGGCCTGAGCTGGTGTAGACTTGGCCTGGGCTGCCGGGGCAGGCCCCTGACCCCTGCCAGCACTCTGCTCACTGTCACTTTCCTCCCACAGGCCCCCCTCTGCAATGGCAGCATGGTGTGGAGCATCAACATGACAGCTGGCGTGGTAAGGACCTTTGGGTGCTGGGGAGGACAGCGCAGAGGCTTCAGGCCTTGGGCTTATCGTCTCTGAGCCTCCCTCCCATGGCTGGGGGTTCCAAGGAAGCTTCAATTGCTCTCCTCCCTTCCCCCATAATCTAGGCCCTTCCCACCACCCAGACTCACCTGCACCAGGCATGCCAGCCCCCTCTTCCTGCAAACTCACAAAAGGTAGCCACTCAAGCAAGCCCTGACCCCTCGGTTTCCCCTTCCCACAGTACTGTGCAGCCCTGGAATCCCTGATTAACGTGTCCAGGTGCAGTGCCATCGAGAAGACCCAGAGGATGCTGAGCGGATTCTGCCCACACAAGGTCTCAGCCGGGGTAAGGCTCCCTCCAACCTGCACCCCCTCTGGCCAACCCTGGCATCACCCAGGGGAAGCTGGCTGAACATCCAAGGTGTGTGTCCACCCAGGGGTGGGGCCATTGTGGCAGCAGGGACATGGCTTTGGCCTTTACAGGACCTGGGCTCAAGGGCCCCTGATGCCTACCTGGGCCTCAATTTCCGCATCTGTATAGTAGAGGTACTAATAGTACCCACCTCCTGGGGACTTCCTCGAGGACTGAATGAGACAGGCCCTGGAAAGCCCCTAGTTTGTGCGGGTCATCTCAGTCTCTGGCGTCTCACTCATGCACTGGCCTCTTTGTCCTGCAGCAGTTTTCCAGCTTGCTTGTCCAAGACACCAAAATCGAAGTGGCCCAGTTTGTAAAGGACCTGCTCAGACACTTAAGGAAACTTTTTCACCAGGGAAAGTTCAACTGAAACATCGAAAGCATCATTGTTTGCAGAGACAGGACCTGACTATTGAAGTTGCAGATTCATTTTTCTTTCTAATGTCAAATGTCTTGGGGAGGTGGGGAGGAGGGTTAGGGAGGGAGTAACATTCCTTAGCTTAGATCTCAGCCTGTGCTGCCTGTCTTCAGCCTTGCCGACCCCAGGCTGCCCCTTGCCCAGGGCCCTGAGCTCAGTGGACCTGGGGATGATGTTTCCCTACATCCTCCCCTTCCCTAGAGCACACTGCAGCATTACAGTGGGTCCCCCCTTGCCAGACATGTGGTAAGAGAGGGACCCATTTCACACAGAGGCAACTGAGGCAGCCAGCAGCTCAGGCACATTTCTTCTTGGTCTTATTTATTATTGTGTGTTATTTAAATGACTGTGTTTGTCCGCGTTGGAGATTGGGAGACTGTGGCTGTTGGCACTTGAAACCAAGGGTTCGGAGACTCAGGGCCCAGCACTAAAGCAGTGGGCACCAGGAGACCCTGGTAATAAGTACTGTGTACAGAATTCTGCTACCTCACTGGGGTCCCGGGGCCTCATCCGAGGCAGGGTCAGAAGAGGCGGGGGAATAGCCACTCCTGTCTTCCAGCCAGCAGCCAGCTCTCAGCCAACGAGTAATTTATTGCTTTTCCTCATATTTAAATATTGCATATGTTAGCAAAGAGTTAATAATATATAGAAGGGTACCTTCAACACCCAGGGTGGTGTGTGTACACTAGGGGGAGGGGACATTGAACAAGTTGTTTCATTGACTATCAAACTGAAGCCAAAAATAAAGTTGGTGACAAATAGGCCCGATTGTACTTGTCTTTCATTTTGGCCTTTAGGGACGATGGTCTGTGGTCTCAAGACTCTGAGGAGCTCTTCAGGAGGCTGGCAGGTTGGAGGAGAGGACTCGGATGGATTTCAGCAGGGATGGGGTGTAGTGACCCGGCTGAGAGCAGAGCTAGCTCTGGGTGGTGGGGACATGGCCTGGAGGAAGCGCCACCTCTGCTGTGCCAGCGAGGACAGGGAGGCTTGGGCAGGCTGTCAGGGTTCAAGGAGGGCATCAGGAGCAGGTGGGGACCCAGGAAGTCTCACGATCGCAGCTCCTGAGGACTGGCCAGCTATGTCTGGCACCACCCACACATTCATGACTCCCTCACAACCTGGGAGGCCGACGACGACTACGAGTCTCAGAGAGCGTGGGTGGTTTGCCTAAGGTCACGTAGCTACTTCCTCACTGGGGTCCTGGGGCCTCAGAGCCTCATCTGAGGTAAAGGAGCAATGCCGAGATTATGACCCCAAACTGGCTCCAACTCCAAAGCCCACACGCTTAACCACCCTGCCTATTTCTGTCCCAATATTCCCTGGCCTGAATGCAGTTTTTCCTTCTGTAAGACTGTCATCAACTGTTCCGGCCCTCTCACTGATGGGAGCTCACTACCTATTTTTGAGGGGCAGACCATTGCATTTCTGGACAGCTCTCGCCATTAGGGTGCACACTGGTGCCGCGTCTGTGAACGGGGCTCTGACTAGGCCACTGCTCAGTAGCTCTTGTTGCCACCCCTTGGCCCTGGCCAGCAGCTGGAGTGCAGGGACCAGTGGACCTTACCAAGCCACAGTTCCAGGCCATGCCCATCAGCAACGCTTTCCACTGTGACTCTCTGGGAGATGCTCGGGGCAGAGGGTGACTCCAGGATGGGATGCCTTTGCAGTGGGTGGTGGGTCAGCAGGGACCAGTCTCAAACTTGGAATGACAGGTAGGCGCCCTCTCTGGGGAGCCCAGAGCCCCATGGGAACACGACAGTGATGCTCAGAAGTCCCTGAAGGCAGCCGCACTCCACTGTTCATGGCTGTGTCATTCACGTAACAGCAGAGGACGTGGCAGGGAGTTGGCCAAGGGGCTGAACATGGTGGCTAGCTACTCCAGAACCACTCACTTTCCCCAGAGAAAGGTGAGGGAAGAAGGTGAACACGACAGTGCAGGGGGCAGGGGACACTTGGCCCAGAGAAGAGAAGACTGTGGCAGTGAAGCGGGTGGTGGTCCAGGAGCTGGGTCTCCAGCAGGCTGTCCCAGCAGGGGATAGGACTGGCTCTCTGGTGCCAAGCCTATGAAGTCCTGCCACATTTGCTGAGGGAATACCTGTGGGGGCCACTGCAGCAGACACCTGGGTTAGTGAGAACCAAGATACCACATGCTCTCAAGGGTTAGCCCCAGAAAGAACTCTGTAGAAACAACAGAGGGTCTGTGTGTAGAGGGCGTGGGGGGTTGTTTGTCCTCCCTCGGGAGGATCTCCCTCTGGCGGTGAGCAGTGGCTGGCCTCCATGGAGGGCAGGAGAGTCTCGGAAGCCAGAGAAGGCGGTGGGAGTCAGGGTCTTTCTTCTCCATCCAGGGCCTAGGGTTGAAGGCTGAAAGGATATTTATGGAGAGTATGACTTTGTCAACAGGACCCAGCAATCCATCCCCTAGTAGCATCATCTTTGACCCACATCCTCTCTGTCCAACCAAAGCATTGCCCTGCCTATCTAGAAAGAAGACGGAAACATTGCCCGTGGAATTCCACGGGACCCTCGAAAACAAAGACTGGAATTGAGGCTGATGCGGGGCAGGGTTCCTCGGGATCCTCCAAGGCCGGACTCTGAGCCACACATTCAGGACAGCCCGCGAGGCAGGTGCACAGTGTGGACGGCCGTCCCAGGCCCCGCCACTAGGGGTCTGCAGCTCACCATGTCCTCAGCCACTCCACAGCTCCTGTCCCTCACACTTTCCAGGCTGCCCCCCAGGTAGGGGACCTGTGGTCATTGGCAGTGTGCCCTGAGCTGGAGAGGGTGTGGGGCCCTCCAGGGATGAGGGTCGCCTCACAGAGTCACAGAACTGAGCTGCAGTTGGTGGCCACAGGGAGGGGACCCAGTCAGGAATGAGAAAGGAAGAGAGAACAAGGTAGGGTTAAGTGTCACCGACTGTGACAGTGGCTGGGAACCTGGCTCCCTGGGACTGACCCCTGGCGGTGTTTGCTGGGACTTTTCTCTAACCACGTGGCCTGAGTTCTTTCATCCACAAGGCAAGCCCTTAGCAGGGCTCAGAGAGAAGGGGGTTGAGAAGGGAGAAGAATGCTTGGTGAGTGGGAGGAAGACACTGGCCATGGGACCCAGGGAGGGGAGCCCCTTGGCACCCCGGGAGCCCCAGCCCAGGAGGTTTCACTGGAAGAGGGGCTGGGGCTCGAGTGAGAAGTGAGATACACACAAGTTTCCGGTGAACTCGGCACCAAACACCTCAGTTTGCTGATCAAATGAGGTGTCAGAAAACGTTCCCAGTCACTTGGCGGGTTTCTCCGAGGCTGGCCCCCTGTCCTGCACAGGACAGGAGTGGGCCCTAGGAGGACCAGGCCAGAATCTTATTTCCTTGTGACCGGGGCAGCACTTGAAGCCTGGCCTTCTCCTGGCCCAGAGGCGTATCACTTTTTCATTACGGTCAAAGGGAATTATCTTCCATTTATGACCTTCATCTAGCTGGCCCCTGGAAACACACTCCAAACCTGTTCCCAGCCTTGCTGGCTTCCCTTCTAAGAAGGCTCGGCTGGGGCAGCCTGACTACGTTCCAGACAGGACAGCCTGGCTGGGGACATGCTGGCTGGCTCCTCTCTAGCCCTTCTGGGTGTCCAAGCTGGGGTCAGAACTGCCGGCTGTCTCCACAGCTGTCTTCCCACACTCACAAAGCCCCACTATCTTCATTCAGTTCTCAGCTCCACCCAAAAGCAAGAGGGCAAGGGTTTGCAACAAACTTTCCCAGATCAACTGATTTCTCGGCAGCAAGGGAGGGCCCCATGACAAAGCCATTTGAAATCCCAGAAGCAATTTTCTACTTACGACCTCACTTTCTGTTGCTGTCTCTCCCTTCCCCTCTGCAGTCCCTTTTCCTGTAGAAAGCGATTCTCTCACAGCATCGTTCAGAAACACCCCCAGCCATGTGCTGCGTGCCTGGGCAGACGCTGCTGTGTGGTCAGAGGTGACGCAGGCACTAAAATTAAATATAGCAACTCTCATCAGCTTCGCTCTCTGCATCACTATGGACAAGTGTGTGGGGGCTGGACACCACTTCCCCAACCTCTCAAGTGAGGAAGACCCCAGTCAGCCATGGTGTCCCCTGGAGACCCACAGCCCGATGGCCTGTTGACCACACTGTCCACGACTCCCTCCTCAGACCACAGCCCTGGGCCAGCTGTGGTGATGCCACATTGGAAAAAGCAATTTTAATTTATTCTTCTTTCTTCTGTTACACATATTTTCTATAATTAGCATGCATTCATTCTTCCAATGGGAGACAAAGATAAATTTCATTTTAAAACAGCAAAAGGAACATGAATGTGATGTCTGCTCCATGGAGGGAGCAGACCGAGACAGGCCGGTGAGGAGGCCCGGCTGCGGTATTCCCCAGCTGGACCAGCACCAGCACCCATCAGACCAGCCTAAGTCTTCCCGGGGAGCTGGCCCTCTCGGGCGAGGAGTGGGGTCTGCAAGGGCCTGCAAGGCAGACCCTCAGCCAGGCAAGCCTGGCACTGCTCCTCCCACGGGCTGGATATTCTTGGACCCATCAGATCCTGCACTGCCAAAGACAGGAAGGTGCTGTCTTCTTGGAGGCCTTCACCAGGCCCTGGCCTGCAGGGGCACAGGAGCCAGTGGGAGTGGAAGGGAAAGGGTGGGCCGCCCGTCTAGGCTGAAGTGACATCCACACTATGGAGACAGATGGAGCATTCCTGCAGCCTCCTCGGCAGCTCTGCCTCTCTTGGGAGAAGGACCTTCCACCTGCTTCTGAAAGGCAAGAGAAGCCAGCAGCCTGCAGAGCCGCTTCTCCCCAGCTCCACAGAGCCGGAGTCTATGCCACTGCCTGCCTGCCGCAGCTCCCTCTGCCCTCGGTTCCTGTGCCTTTGGATGAGGACCTCCATGTGTCTGTGCTCTGGGTCCCATTCCCTCCCCTCTCAGGAACACAGGCAGCACATAGAGCTGGAGGCTCAGGTGAAACCACCCCTACCTTCAAGCCCCAGCTGTGTCCCTGACTTCTAGTGTCATTACTTTAGCCTAGTCTCGTTGGCTCCATGGAAATGGAGCTCCACTCATTCATTCAGCAAGTATGGACTGATGCCTTGCCTTGGTGCCACTAACCAAAATAAGGTTGCTTCTAGCAGGGAGACAGAGTAAGCCAACAAGAGAACACCCAGTGTGTTGGGCGGTGGTAACCACTACCAAGGGCAAGAGCAATTGGGGTTGCACGGCAGGGAGGGCACTGTGTTGTGCGGGAGGTTGGAGAAATCCTCCCCTTGAGAACAGAGATCTGGATGAAACAAGGGGAGGGGATAGCCACGCACAGATGGGGGCAAAGTTATCCAGGGAAAGGGAACTGCAGGTGCTAAGGTCTGGAGCAAGAGCGAGCTGAGGATGTCCTTCTCAGCACTCACGGGTGGCCGGCAGGCTGAAGCAGAAGCCGCGGCAAGGGCAGCAGGACCCCAGCAGGGCCTCAGAGGCCAGGACTGGGCTTCCCCCTGTGTGGGATGGAGTAATGTGGTCTGGCTCACATGTTAACAAAGTCACCGTGGCTGCTGTGAGGAGAATGAAACGCAGGGGCAAGGATGGAGCAGCAGATGAGCGTGGAGGCTCCTGTAGAGATGCTGATGGACAGCGATGGCGTGTGGGGCAGTGGAGGGGAGAGGTGCTGGCCGACTGGAGAGGGTGTGTGTGGAACAGATATGTACACAGTATACGGGTGTTGTACATATCATTTACTTAAACAGAATATTATATAAAGTATATAAATATATAATACACAAATGTGCATATATTATGTTAATATTATTTAAATTTGCTACACAACTACATTTTTAAAATCTTCTATAATAGGAAATTTCAAATATATACAAAAGTCACTCCCAGGCATCCACTGCCCAACGTCAACAATGAGCAACTCATGGCTCATGTTGTCAATTTTGTTCCATCTCTACCCCCACCCTTTCCCCACCACCGCCAATCTGAGATGTCACATGAGTGAAGGGAGAGGCCTTGGGGTGGCCTGGATGTGGGCGTGTGAGTTTTCCCGTGTTGTGTGTGAGCGACTGCAAGGATGGAGCTGCCGCTTGCTGAGCTGGGGCAGCCTGTGCTCGAGTGTGTCCTATTCAGAACACAGCTGTCAACTACCTCTGCAGCCTGTAGCCCAAAGCAGCTGCCCTCCCAGATGCCCATACTGAGTTCCACCTCATCTGGCTCCTTCCTGTGCCCCCAGTGCACTCAGATATCTTGTGAGGTCACTGATTATCAACTCATTGCTCCATGCAGCAATGCACATCTGCTCTTGTCTAGCCTCACCTATGAGGAGCATCACTGTCGCTGACCACTGCTCCCACTCCCTGGGCCTCTCTCATGCCTGGACTCCACGCCCTGCCTCACCACCTTCTAGTGTCTCGGGAATGCTCTGGCTCATTTCTTGTCCTCTGTCTTCTCTCACCCCTGGCAGTACTGTCAGGTCAACAGGATCGGAGGAGAGCCAGGGTGACACCATTTTTAAATCAACTCTGTCTTAAAACTAGCTAGGCATATTCCTTGCCAGTCACTACCCATGGTCATGAGATGTTTATGCCAAGGAAGCCGTTTAGTCCCGCCTGCAAGGACAAACTCCCACAACAGCAGAATGTCTGGGCATCCTGCTGTCTTACAACAATATATGCTGTCAAGATAGTTACAGTAATGCTTTCATGTACTTACTCACTAAAATGCCAAGGATAACATTCTTTAAATCAACCAAGTACTAAATTTTGTGACAACGTCAGTCCACCTGCACAAAGACATAACTTAGCTTGGTTTTGCATAGACAAGACCCCCATATAAAAAAAACTTTAAGCAAAGATGAGGTGCTCCTGCTCGTGCTTTCTGAGGACACCCTACTCTGTATCTGAGTAGCTTTCAATAAACCATCCCTTCTTTACTGTACTCCACAATTAGCCTTGAATTCCTTCCTGGGTGAGATCCGAGAACCTTCTCTTGGGGTCTCAGTTGGGACTCCTTTCTCCAGCAACAGCAACATGATGTTCTTCCCCCAGGCTTAGTCACCCTCCCTGTCTACTGCCTCTAGGCTGGACCCTCCCCCAGGGAGGGTCACCTCCCTCAGAGCACCAGCTGGTGGTTCCCACCCGAGGCCTGCCTGCCTCCCCTGCCTCCTCCCCAGCCAGAAACCTGAGGCCACCTGCAACCTCCTGCTCTCCCTCACCCCCGTATTCAGTCACTTCCAAATGCTCTTAATGAGATGGAGGTGGTGATGGTGATTGCTGGCATTTTCTGAGCGCTTGTGATGTGCCTGCCAGTCACCATACCACACACTTCATATTTGTCACCGACTACAGTATTCTCCTGCCCCTGCAATCAGCCCAGTTTTATAGAGAAGGCTGGACAGGGAAACTTTTCCAAGGTCATCCATAGCTGGGATTCAGAACCAGCCAGGTCCTGTGGGCCCTAGGACCAGGTCTTAACCTGGACACTGCGCTGGGCCAAATGACTCGAGAGCCCACAGTTCTCCCTGCCACTGTCCTACCCCATTCGTGCCAGCTGCCTCTGTCATGGGTGCCTGCGATGCTCTGGCTGGGTCCCCTCAGCCCATGCTCCCCTGTGGGAAGCCATCTCTTCAATGCCCCCGGGGCCTTCCATGCGCTGTCCCCTGCCCACACTCACCCCACCCTGCAGCCCCTGCCCCTGGCTAAAGCCGGCTCATCCCTAACTCTGCTTAAGGGCTTCCCTCAGAGAAGTCTCACCTTTTTCCAAGGCTGAGCCTGTGGGGGACGGAAAGCGCTCTTCTGGGTGCTAGCCTGACTGACAGAAGAGGAGGGAGGTGAGATTTGCCTACTTAGGGAGCACAAGGATGGCTGGGACAGCAAGAATCAATGGACGAGGCCCATGGAGACTGGCCTGCATTGCGTGACCTGCATTCCTTTCTCCGAGTTGAATGCCATGTTTCTGACTCCTTTGAAGCGAGCCTCCGACTTCCCCAATTAGACGAAGGCTGACCAGCTGTGGAGGGGAGGGTGGCAGATGCTATCTTCCTGGCCCTTCAGGCTGGGGGTGTCCTGGAGCAGGCTCACTGTGTGGGGGGCTGGTGGAGGAAGCAGCTTTGGGATCCCAGCACTGCAGCCTCAGGGGTGGCTCGTCGAGTGGGTCAGGTCTTTAGGGTTCTGGGCCCCACCTGGAACCTGCCCTTCCAGCCTGTCTGACATTTTTATAAGCGCCTAGTTTCCTGCATGAAATCCTTTCCTGACTAAAGCACCCACAGCAGCGTCTGTTCCCTGCAATGATCGCTGCCACTGACCACTGCTCCTCCTCCCTGGGCCTCTCTCACACCTGGAGTTTGCACCCTGCCTTGCCACCTTCTATCTAGTGTCATGGGAACGCCCTGGCGGGCTGCAGTGTGTGGGCTGTGACCCACCAGAAACAAGGACAGCAATTCAAAGGCTAAGAAGGAGGCAGGTCCAGGAGGAACCTGTATGGAGGCCCATCTGGTCAGACCTCCACTGCCCTGGCCAGACTTGAGCTTGCCTAATAGATGAAGCATCAGTCATTTCAGCAACTTGAGATATGAGTCATCATCATCGTCATCATCATCATAGCACTCACTGCGTGCCAGGCACTATTCTAAATACTTAAAAACTTTAATGTAGTCATTCCTCAGAGCCCCCACATGAGACAGAGATAGCTATGACCCCCATTGCACAGATGAGTCTGAGTAGTGTGCCCAAGCTCACTTAGCCAGGAGGCACAGCAGCCAGGCCTGACGGACCACCTGGGCCCAGCGTCTGCTCTCTTAGCTGCAGTGTGCTATAGCAGCCTCTGTTAACAGACACCCTTTCTGGATGACACATGCCAAGTACTTTCCATGGAACCACTCACTTGCTCCTCACAAGGAAGAGCCACATTATTCCCATTTCACAAGTGAGAAAACCGAGACCCAAAGAGAGTTAATCATCTACCCATGGTCACAGAGTTGACAAGGGCTCATTTGCTGGACTTCAAACCCGAGCTCATAACTGCTATGCTCCAGGGCCTACAGGGAAAATTCTGCATCCATGGAGGGGCCAGCGCTGGTTCTCAGCTCTCACATAAGGGAGGAGGAGGGGCCTGTGTCTAACACACCCAGAGACTGCACGGTCTTCAACCTCCCTCCTGCACTTTGGTGCCCAACCCACCATACCCTGCCCAGGCACTGCCCATGACCTTGCAGGCTCAGAGGCTCCTTCAAGGCAGGTGGAGACCACCACCCTCCTCTTTGTCCCTGACAGTGCAGGCACCCACCTTCCTGATCGCTACCCACCTGCCACACCTGCAGCCGCCATGGTGCTGTCCCTGCAGGGGAGGATGGCCCATCTTCCCTTTTTGCCCTCTGGGGAGACTTCTGGTCACTCTCTAATGTTCTGGACAGTTTATTCTTTCATCTTTGTCCTCACTTCACCACTGAAACAAACAAAACAAGCTGGATTCTGCTTCTAAGCTAAAGGTACCCACCTAATATTCCCTTTTCATTCACCAGCTCTGCCCCCAGAGCCTCAAGCCCAGCATCTGCCCTTTAGTGGATGCTTAGAAAAACACCAGCTAGACACATAAATGGCTGTTCTACTGTCCCCCAGACATTCCAGAACTCTGCCCTCCCCACTAGTCCCTTCTGCACCCTGACTCTCCTTGAGAACCTATTTGGCAGAAGCCCTCCAGTGAGTCCGCAGCTTGACGCACTTACCCCTGTGTTAACTGGAGCCGCCGCTCCACTTCATTCTGCATAGTAGTTCATTGGATTCGAAGTCTCCACCTACTCTTCTCATAACTCTCCCCAGTCTATGCAGTGAAGAATCAAACTCTACACAAGAAGTCTGGCCTTTGTCCTGGCTCCTGGGAAGTCCCACCAGCTACAAACCCTTGGAGTAAAGAATGTGGCTGGTTCTCGTCTGCAGTTCCCAGGAGGTAGGCTGAAATTCCTAGGGGTTTCCCAAGTGATAGGAGTATCTTATTATTCATAGAGGGTGCAGGAGTTTATGTGAGTGAAGTGACTCGTGGTGGGCCCTAAGTAGTTTTTTATGGCAATGTAACTGTGGAGGGGCTGGCCATGCCACTGAGATTCTGTGATATCACCCTGGCCTCCCTGAGGTGCACCTGAAAGTTGAGTTCAACCCAGTAGCCAATGAGTCCATCAACCACACCTAGAATAAAAATTGTGGACCCCAAAGCTCAGGTAACCTCCCTGCTTGGAAATACTCAGCATTTAGTCACACATCAAGATGCTGAGAGGATGATGCCTCTGACGCTACATGGGGAAGACAACAAAAGCTTTGTGTTTGGGCCCCTTGCCATCTCACTCCTGTGTTTCCTATTTTGGCTGGTTCCGATTAGAATGCTTTTGCTATGATAAAATTGTGACCTTATGTACAGCACTCTCCTGAGTTCTGTCAGTCATCCTAGTGAATTATGGAACCTGGGGGGTAGTGGTAACTCTCCGATTTGCAGCCAGTCAGTCAGCAGTGGGGGTAGGCTGGGGACCCCTGAATGTGCAACTGGTATCTGAAGCAGTGGCAGTGTTGTGGGGGACAGTACCCCTCACCTGTGAGGTTTGGCTCATCTCAGGTGGTTTGGCATCTGAAGCCACTGCATTTAGTTTGGTAACCTCGTTGCCTGGTCCCAATGGAAGGATCTTAAATATGGTCTAAGGACCTTTCTGATACAATTATCCAGATTTTCTCCTTCACAGAACTTGAGACACTGCAATAAGATCCAAAGATATATATATATATATATATATATATATATATATATATACACACACACACACACACACACACACACACACATACATACAGTGAAATACTATGCAGCCTTAAAAAAGAAGGGAACCCTGTCATTTGCAACAACATGGATGAACCTAGAGGACATTGTGCTAAGTGAAAAAAGCCAGGCACAGACAGACAAATGCCACATGATCTCACCCATATGTAAAACCTAAAAAAGCTGAACTCAGGGCTCAGGGAGGCAGAGAGTAGGATGATGGTCACCAGGGGTTGGGACGGTGGTGATGAAGAAGATGTTGGTCAAAGGGTATAAAATTTCAGTTGGGAGGAATAAGTTCAAGAGAGCCATTGTACAACATGGTGACAACAGTTGATAATGATATCCTGTATACTTAAAAATCATGAAGAGAGGCCAGGTATGGTGGCCCATACCTGTAATCAACAACTTGGGAGGCTGAGGTGGGTGGATCAACTGAGGTCATGAGTTCGAGACCAGCCTGGCCAACATGGTGAAATCCCACCTCTACTAAAAATACAAAAAATTTGTTGGGTATAGTGGCACATGCCTGTAATCCCAGCTACTCGGGAGGCTGAGGCAGGAGAATCGCTTGAACCCAAGGTGTGGAGGTTGCAGTGAGCCAAGATTGTGCCTTTGCATTCCAGTCTGGGCAACAGAGTGAGACTCCATCTCAAAAATAAATAAATAAATAAATAAATCACAAAAGAGTAGAGTTTAAATGTTCTTACCAAAAATAAGAGTGTAAGTATGTGAGGTACTGTATATGTTAATTAGCTTGATGTAGCAATTCCATAATGTATATACATATCAAAACATTATATCATATACCATAAATATGTGCAATATTTTTCAAGTTAATAATAATAATAAGGGAAGAAAATATCCAAAACAGAGGCAAAACCCTGGCCGGGCATGGTGGCTCACACCTATAATCCCAGCACTTTGGGAGGCTGAGGTGGGTGGATCACTTTGAGGCCAGGAGTTTGACACCAGCCTGGCCAACATGGTGAAACCCTGCCTCTACCAAAAAAAAAAAAAATACAAAAATTAGCCATGCATGGTGGCATGTGCCTGTAATCCCAGCTACTCAGAAGGCTGAGGCTGGAGGATGCCTTGAGCCCAGTTTGAGGCTGCAGTGAGCTATGATTATCACTGCACTCCAGCCTGGGTGACACAGTGAGACTCCATCTCAAAAAAACCACCACCACCAGAGGCAAAACCTTAGCAATCTTAGCAAGACGCATTTTTAGAGGATCTTCCAGAAGAAATTCATAGAGAGAAGAAAGTCAGAGACCAAGGGAAGAGAACTGGAAGCAGGAAGGCTCTGGGGGAAAAGCAGTGGGCAGGCAAGCCCCAGGAATCCTGCTGCCTGTGAGCCCTTCTTGGGAGGTGGGATGGGTTTTGCACAGGGCCCAGGCACCCAAGTGAATGGTGGGTCCTTATGTTTACTGTTGGGATGAAGCTAATGAGCACCTTATTTTGTCCAGATGAATTCAATAAAAACAGCAGGGTGGGTGGTGGGGCACTGACAAGGGGAGCTGATTTGTCAGTTGGTAAGACTGTAGCTCCTTCTCCTAATTAGCTGAGGATGTGTTTAGGTTCCATTGAAAAAGTGGGCATTCCTGGCCAGGCATGGTGGCTCACACCTGTAATCTTGGAGCTCTGGGAGACCGAGGTAGGGGGATCACTTGAGCCCAGGAGTTTGAGATCAGCCTAGGCAACATAGTGAGACTCTCATCCCTACCAAAAAAGAAAAATAAACATTAGCCAGGCATGGTGCACTGGTACACGTCTATAGTCCCAGCTATTCGGGGGGTGAGGTGAGAGGATCGCTTGAGCCTGGGAGGCTGAGGCTGCAGTGAGCCCTGATCACAACACTGTACTCCAGCCTGGGTGATAGAATGAGACCCTATCTCAGAAAAAAAAAAAAAAAAAAAAGTTATTCCTGAAGCCTCCAAACAGACTTACCTTGCCAAGAGCTTCCTTATGGGTTAGAACCTTATGGACTTGCTGGGACCCAAACTAGGCCTCACCTGATGTGACCTGTCCTCCTCCTCCAAACACCTAAACTTGGGAGAACATTATGCCCCAGTGCTGGGGCAGAGAGTCTATGCCTGTTATTCTCCCTCTACACAGAGAAGGAGCCCCAGATCAGCTTTTCCACGACAGAACAGTTTCTAAGATGCCACCCATACTTGGAAGAAGCCAGGTTAAAACACTTTTCAAGTCAAACTTTCTTGATATTACTCTATCTTTCCCCAGGAGGACTGCACTAAGACAAATTCGGACACCTGTGGCCTCTCCCTCCTATGCAAAGCAAAAAGCCAACAGCAGCCCCAAGCTGATAAGATTAATCTAAAGAGCAAATTATGGTGTAATTTCCTATGCTGAAACTTTGTAGTTAATTTTTTTAAAAAAGGTTTCATTTTCCTATTGGTCTGATTTCACAGGAACATTTTACCTGTTTGTGAGGCATTTTTTCTCCTGGAAGAGAGGTGCTGACTGGCCCCAAATGACTGACGATCTGGTGTAACGAAAATTTCCAATGTAAACTCATTTTTCCTCGGTTTCAGCAATTTTAAATCTATATATAGAGATATCTTTGTCAGAGCATAGCATTGTTAGCTTCTCCTGATAAACTAATTGTCTCACATTGTCACTTCAGATTGACACCTATTAATGGGTCTCACCTCCCAACTGCTTCCCGCTCTGTTCTTTCTGTTAGCATGCGCCGGCAACTTTGTCCATGGACACAACTGCGATGTTGCCTTAGAGGAGATCATCAAAACTTTGAACATTGTCACAGAGCAAAAGGTGAGTACCTATCTGGCACCATCTCTCCAGATGTTCTGGTGATGCTGTCGGTATTTATAGGCCATGAAAACCTAACAGCTGCTAGAGAAGTTGAAACTGGTGGTCAGTGGCAGTCAGGGGAGCATAGGGAGGCTTCTCCCCTGACACTCTGTTTATCTGAGGGTCTGTAGGAAGTTTTCTCAGTTGGAGGAAGTGAGATATGCTCATCAAGGACTGCTCTGTCCAGTTGGAGGTTAACTCTGTCTCTTGCTCTCTCGTTTCTGCCTGGACCAAGACTCTGTGCACCGAGTTGACCGTAATGGACATCTTTGCTGCCTCCAAGGTAAGAAGCCGTCCTGCGGTCTGTTTTGGCAAATGGGGACAGCCATCCCCAAGTGTCTGAACAAGAAACTTGTTGAATGGAAAACGAGCAGGCCCAAATTAACTATAGGTGTTAGATGTTTTCAAAGAATGAGAAGTCTGATCTTTACTCTTAAGCATGTTTTGGTCTTTCGGGTTTCACTTGATTTAGAAGACGTGTAATAGAGAGCTTACAAACTGTAATCCTGACTCAGATCCTGGTCAAAGAAAAGCCCTCTTGGGTTTTACTTAGCTTTGGCATAGTGCCTGGAATGTACAAGGCACTCAATAAATGTCTGTTGAACGAGAGGCTTTTTCTGGCCCATACATTTCTGAAAAACCAAATACCCTCACAAAAACAGATATTGAGATGACAGGTCGAGGGAGCTTTCATTTTGTCTAAGAGACTTCCTATGGCAACAGAAAAGGTATTGCTAGAGCCCCTCCTCTTACACAACCTGGCTACATAACAGCCCACTGGGTTCCGGGGCTGGCTGTCCAGACCCCCTCAGCTTGCTCTGGCTGGCCAAACTATCCTCCAGCCCGGCTCCAGAACCACCCTGCTCGGCGGCGTCCAGTACATCCCTGCTTCAGGCTGCTTGGGCATCTCGCCTCTCTGCCTCCTGTGCTGCCTCACCCCCACCCCTCTATCTGTAGTGGGAGGAGATAGATGTGACAGCTGATAGTGCATTTTCTCTGACAAACATGACTACAGCCATATCAATAGTTTTGTGCACTTCAGTTCCTGTTTTCATGGAAACACACGGCTGAGAATGAAAGCCCCAAAGCCTCAGTTTAACAGTGGTCTCCTAACTACCTGCTTTCCGCGCGATGAAGCCCTGTGGGCTGGGCAGGGCCATACCCTGGCACCCAGGCCATAGAACACGGCCCATCCTGCTCCATGAGGGACACTGCTCTTCAGGCCTTTATCTGGACTATCTCATTTCATTAAAGGTTATCCCAAGAGTCCGATACAGGGTGAGATTCTGAAGGACACAGACACACTTTTTTTTTTTTTTTTCCTGAGA